GGGGAGGGTAAGGAGAGCTCTGTTGTCAATGCGGACACCTGAGACATTCCCTGGGAAAGTCCCTGGGGCTTGAAGTGCCCTCCCCCCAATCTCCTCCCTCACTTGGATTGGGTTGATTATAGAACCACCCCGAACCCTCTGGGGCTCCCAACATTGCCCTTCTGCCCCCCCCAGGAGACTCATTTGGGGTGGGGCAGGCCCTGTTCCCACAGTGTCAATTGTCTGTGAGGAATTTGGCACAAGTTGCCCCAGGGCAGGGGGGCAGTGAGGACATCCTCTCCCTCACCTTCCTTCACCCCCACCCACCCTCCTTTTCTTTGGTTCCAGAATCTAACTCCTCCGAGCTCCGAGCTTTGTCAGTCCTCCGGGACTCAAGAGCGCCCAGTGTCCCTTAGTTATCCAGGGTGCCCCTCCCCGGGATATGCCAGGGACCCTCACAAAATCTCCAAAGTGTCCAACAGAATGTGGCATTGGGTGCCGGCCTGGGAGGGTATCTGAGTCCTTGTTTCTTTCAGCTTCCGTAGCCCCAGGTGTTCCTCAGCTCCTTGGTGATCTCCACGTGGCATCTGTCCCTCCCACCCCTGTTTGTGGGTGTCTCTGTGTAATCTGCTTTTTTTATAACTCAGAAGTGATTAGGTTTAGGAAACGCCCTACACTGCTGGCCACATTAGCATGAAAAAGAAAACCCAGTTCCCAGACAGGATTACATTCACATGCATAGGATTCCAACACGTGTTTTGGGGAGACAATTCAATCCATAACTGAGGGACTGGGAGGGGCAGAGGAACAGACCAGGATAAGTTCTCTACAAATCTCTCTTTGTCTCTGTCTCTCTCTGTGTGTCTGTCTCTCCCTACATATCTCTGAATGAGATGAAGCAACAGCTGCCTTCATCATCTGCCTGCCGTCCAGCCTGCGAGACCCTTCAAAAGGGGCCACGTGGTGGTGGAGCTGGGTGCAGGGGGGGTGCACGGTGTGTGCTCGCCAGCACATGGGTGTGTATTGTGTTTACTCTTTAGAGTGTGGGGTCACCACCAAGGTAACCCGCGAGAGCCGGATCGTGGGGGGCAAGAACGCCAGCCTGGGGGATTGGCCCTGGCAGGTCAGCCTGAATGTCCAAGGCGCCCACGTCTGTGGAGGCTCCATCATCACCCCTGAGTGGATCGTGACGGCCGCCCACTGTGTGGAAGAGTAAGTCCCCTTTCCAGGTCGACTGGAGGCAGGTGGTGGGCGGGGAGATCCCGGGCTCTGGAGCCAGACTCCTGGCTGGGAATGTAGCTCTGCCACCATGTGATGCTGAGCAAATGCTTACCCTCTTGAAGCTCCAGCTCCCTTGACTGTAAATGGGGAGGATGAGGGCACCCGCCTCTTAGTGTGGCTGTGAAGATGTGTGTGGCAGAGTCCACCCTTCAGCACATGGGCATTGTGTGCTGCCCTAGTTCTCTAGTGCTGCTATAACAGAAATACCACAGGTGGATGGCTTCAACAAACAGAAGTTTATTCTCTCACAGTCTAGTAGGCTACAAGTCCAAATTCAGGACATCAGCTCCAGGGGAAGGCTTTCTCTGTCAGCTCTGGAGGAAGGTCCTTGTCATCAATCTTCCCCTGGTCTAGGAGCTTCTCAGCACAGGGACCCCAGGTCCAAAGGACACATGTTCCTAGTTCTACTTTCTTGGTGGTATGAGGTCCCCCTGTCTCTCTGCTTGCTTCTCTCTTTTATATCTCAAAAAATATTGGCTTAAATTGTAGATCGAGTCTACGTAACTGCCCCTAATCCCACCTGATTAATATCATAGAGATAGGATTTACAACACATAGGAAAATCACATCAGATCACAAAATGGTGGACAATCACACAATACTGGGAAGCATGACCTAGCCAAGTCAACAGATATTTTTGGGGAAACAATTCAGTCCATGACACATGCCTCCTGTGTGCTTGTTCTGGGCACCGGGGGTGTGGTGTGGGGTTGGTTGATGTAGTTAGAATTCCATCTAGCCGGGTGTCTTCTCAGCTCATAGAAACCACCACCCTCTTGAGAAGTCTGATCTCTCCAGGACACTTGTCCCCAGAGACTGAACACTCAGACATGATCGAAGAACTCATGTCCTGCCAGAAGCTTCTCTGTGATCCCCAGTTAAGAGTCCTTGGCAACAGTACTAGGGAGGGGTGAAGGTAGCCGTAATTTATAGCGTTAACCTTCATAGAAGAGCTGTTGTCGTGGTTAAGTGCCATCGCGTAGCCTCCCATTCATGGTGGCCCCATGTACCACAGAAGGAAATGCTACCTGGTCCTGCACCATCTCCATGTTCGGCTTTGGATGAGACCGCTGTGATCCACAGGGTTTTCATTGGCTGATTTTCGGAAGTAGATCACAAGCCTTTCTTCCTAGTCTGTTTTAGTCTGGAAGTTTCCCTGAAACCTGTTCAGCATCACAGCAACACAGAAGCCTCCACCGGCAGACAGGTGGTGGCTGCACATGAGGTGCACTGGCCAAGAATCAAACCCGGGTCTCCTGCGTGGAAGGTGAGAATTCCGCCACCGAGCCACTAATGTCCCAGCCTCTCCGCGCCCCCTTTTTTGTTCTTAAGCAGGTCTATTATTTTGCTTTGGAGAAACCTTCATTCGGCTGGGCTGTTTTTCTTCTTTCCTTGGGTTCTGTGCCTGCACGGGTGGCCGTATCTACCCCGCATCAGGACCCGTTTAGTCCATCTTTCAGCACACATTTTCCAGTCGTCTCGTGGCGGGTGGGATTAGCGCCGAACGTGACGTCATTGGGTGCAGGGGCTCGCAGCCCTCATGAAAGCACCTCGTGAAGACCCCAGGTGCTGGCCCTGGGATCGGCCCAGACAGAGGTGGTTTTACCAGCTGTCTCCGGGGCCTCTGATAGTGGATCTAGTCCCCGCTGGTGGATGCCGTAATCCCCGCCCACGTGAAGTCAGCTCCGCCCCCTCGGCCAATCACTTCTTGAGGAATTTCCGGAAAGGAAGCTACTGATCACCGGGCTTTGGCACAGACTGCTAGTCTGCCCTCCAGCAAAATGGCCCAGCTTAGGCTCAGCGGCCACGGCTCCTCTTTCTGTAGATGGAGTCAAGTTGCCCATGCTCATACAGATAGGTCCAAGGGAGTTCCTAAGGCGCTCGAGCCTGAATCGGGTGAAAAGTCCCCAAGTATGTGGAGCAAGATGGGAGTGCAAAATAAAGATGTGTGTGTGCACACGCGCGTGTGTGTGTGCATGCATGTGTGTGCATATGTTGGTGTGCGTTGTGTGTGTGTGTTCATATACACGGGTGTTGTGTGTGTGCAAGTGTGTGCACTGTGTTTGTGTATAGCAGTGCAGACATTGCTCAGGAAAAGGCAAGATGGGCTGTTCACGGGAAATGTGAGCTCGGAGGCCCCGGCTGGGATTGGATAGGGGAAGAGGAGAGAGGCGGTGAGTGACAGAAAACTGCCTGGTTTTGTATCAAATGAGAAAGGCAAGGAAAACAGGAGCCGCCACCAGGGGGCGCAGTCCCGGGCTTTTGTGCCGCCCAGGAGTGAGTTTGCAGATCTGCAGTGATGCCGGCTGTGCGCCAAGCACAGGGTTCCATGGGTCTCGCTGAGCCCCGAGGGTGACCAGGGGCTGGACTTGGGTGAGGCGACACCACTTCAGTCACCTCTGACGCCCCAGAAGGACTGAATTTGGTGTAGCTTCTTCTACACGGAGGAGGTGGGTGGGGGAGCAAGGGAAGACAAACCTCCACGTTATCAAACCAGGTAGTGGGCACAAAGGTCCCAGGCGTGTAAACAAAACAGTGAGTGAATTGAGTGTAAGGTGCTATACACACACGCGAGTGTGTGCAGTGGGTTTCTGTCAGACAACGAGCAGGCCTGGCCGCTGAGGGTGTTTATAGGGAAGTGACTGCAGAGTCTGATGTCACATGGTGAGAAGGGACTTCAGCCTAGACGCCTGTCTTTTCTGCTGGAGTCACCTGCCCTGACCCCAGTCCTTTGGTGGAAAGCACTTGCATCCTCTTCCTGGGCTCCTGGTGCAGCTGTTCTCTCGACCCAGACCCGGACTCACTAGGCCAGACCCTGGCATCTGCACATGTACAACAGGTGTATGCTCCGTCTCCCCAGGGGCTAATGTAAAGGCTGAAAGAAGCAATTCCTCTTTTCCACCAGATTCTGGTGGCTTTCTAGAATTTGAGATTCCCTGGTGGCGCAGTGATTAAGAGCTATGGCTGCTAAATAAAAGGTTGGCAGTTCGAATCCACCAGGCGCTCCTTGGAAACCCTATGGGGCAGTTCTACTATGTCCTATAGGATTGTGAGTCGGAATCGACTCATCAGCAACGGGTTTGGTTTTTGGGTTTGGTTAAAAGGGAAAGGTGTCCCTGGGTGGCATAACCGTTGGTGCAAAAGGTTGGCAGTTTGAACCTGTCCAGAAGCACCACAGAAGAAAGTCCTGGAGATCTGCTTCCATTTTACTCTGTAACATATGAGGTTGTCATAAGTTAGGATCAACTTGACAGCCACAGGTTTGGTTCAGTTTTGGTCAACAGGGAAACATCTGGATAAAAGTAATATCTTGCTTGATAAGCTTACATCTTAGCATCTGTTCGTCAGTACATACTTATTAAGCACCTACTGTGTGCCAGGTGGTGCTCTGGCATGTATGGGTAAGACCTAGGCCTGCCAGAGGGAGGAATGGAAGCTAAGGGAGGGATTTAGGCAAAAGAAGAAGTGTTCTTGAAATTGTGAAGGGTTTGTGGGATGGTGCCTGGAGGAACACGATGGGGACTGGATTCATTGATGAGATAAAATATAAGCTGAGTCTTGAAAGAGGGGAAAGTGTAGCGGATGAGGCTTTGGTGAGCTGGGGAGAGAGGGGAGGGACTCTGGATACAGGGAAGGAGAGAAGAGGCTGAGGCTCATCCTCAACAATCTTGTGTGGTCTGTGGCGAGCCATATCATCTCTGGTAATCTTAGCTCCAGCTTATGGTTTTTGAAGGGGGCAGTGGTGGTTCAGAAGGTAAAACCGCTGCCTTCCATGAGGGAGACCCAGGTTCTATTCCAGCCAATGCATCTCACGTGTAGCCAACAGCCATCTGTCACTGGAGGCTTGAGTGTTCCTATGATGCTAAACAGATTTCAGCGGAGCTTCCAGACTAAGATGGACTAGGAAGAAAGGCCAGGCAATCTGCTTCTGAAAGTCAGCCAGTGAAAACCATACAGATCCCAATGGTCCAATCCACAACAGATCATGAGGATGGTGTAGGACTGGGCAGCGTTTCGTTCCAGTGTCCGTGGATCACCATGAGTTGGGGACCGACTCAACGGCGGCTGACAACAGCTATGGATTTTGAAGTTCTTCAGGTGAGTGTTGCACGCCTATAGGTCTGAGATGCTGAGTGTTATTTATCTTTCTTTTGCAGGCCTCTTTCCAACCCCCGGTACTGGACAGCCTTTGCGGGGATTTTGAAGCGGTCTTTAATGTTCTATGAATATGGATACCAAGTAGCGAAAGTTATCTCTCATCCAAATTATGATTCCAAGACCAAGAACAATGACGTTGCTCTTATGAAATTGCAGACACCGCTGACGTTTAACGGTATACACCTTTGTTTCTCTGGCTTGGGAGTGTGAATAATTTTGGCCAAATCTTAAGTAGCTGTTGCCTGGAAATAGCTGTGCTCTGATAAATGGAAGCAAGGGAGTTGTTGAGTGAGGGTGGCATGCCGGAGAAGGCAGGGAAGGGCTCAGCAGACGCTGAGTCACCCGACAATGAGCGTGTGCCGTGTTGAGGGAAGCAGTAACCACCCAGTTCTTCTCCACTGTATAGAGTGATTTTAATCAAGAGATACAAAACTCTAGAGCAGAGTTTCTCACCTGGGACACGAGTGACATTTAGCAAAAAAAAAAAAAATCCAAATTCATTGCCATTGAGTCGATTCCTACTCATAGCGACCCAATAGGACAGAGTAGAACGGCCCCATAGAGTTTTCAAGGAGCAGCTGGTGGGTTCGAACTGCCCACCTTTTAGTTAGCAGCCTGAGCTCTTAACCACTGTGCCACCAGGGCTCCTTTTAGGGCTGGATAATTTTCTGTTGAAGGACCTGCCCTCTGCCTGTGGGACATTTAGCAGCATCCCAGCCTCTACCTGTGACGTCAATAGCAATTGCTACTTTGTGACGACCAAAAATGTCTCCTGACATGGCCAGATGTCCCCTGGGGGGCGAATCCACCTCTGTTTGAGAACCCCTCGTCTATCACTTGTAAAGATCCTTTCTTTCTTACGCACAGTCCAAAAGTAAGAGATTTTTAAATAATAATAACTTAAAACAACAAAAGCAAACACACTTTCCCGTAGCTCCTAGCTTCTTCCTTGGCTCCTGTTCTAGTCCACCCAAGGGTCCAGAAAGTTCTCGCCCCACATGGGTACAGAAGAACCCAAACCTAGGCCCTCCCCACAAGTTGCTTGCATTCACGTTGGGAAGTGATTTACACGTTAAAAAACACAATCCATGCACGATGGTCTGCTGTCTAAGGAAATAATTTCTCCATTTCCACCAGATTCTGATGGCTTTCTAGAATTTGAGTCTCCCCGTTAAAAGGGGAGAACCTAGATAAAGGTAATACATTGATTGACAAGCTTACGCCTTAGAGTCTATTGTTACTAGCTGCTATGGAGTCGACCCCATGCACAACAGAACCAAATGCTGGCTGGTCCTGCTCTATCCCCACGATCAGTTGCAGATCAGACCGTTGTGATGCATAGGGTTTTCACTGGCTGATTTTCACAAGTAGATTGCCAGACCTTTCTTCCTAGTCTGTTTTAGACTGGAAGCACTGCTGAAACCTTTTCAGCATCATAGCAACACGCAAGCCTCCACTGGCAGATGGGTGGTGGCTGCACGTGAGGTGCATTGGCTGGGCATGGAACCCAGGTCTTCTGCATGGAAGGCAAGAATTCTACCACGGAACCATGCTGCCCCCTAGAGTTTCTTTTAAAAACAGACAAACGAGTTGCAGTCAAGGGGATTCCAACTCATGACGACCCCCATGTGACTCCAGAGAGTTTGTTGTTGTTAGGTGCCGTTGAGTCAATTCTGGCTCATAGTGACCCCATGTAACAGGATAGAACTGTCCCATAAGGTTTTCTTGGCTGTAATCTTTATGGAAGAACCCCTAGTGACACAGTGGTTAAAGCGCTCAGCTGCAAACCAAAAGGTTGCCGGTTCAAACCCACTAGCTGCTCCGTGGGAGAAAGATGTGGCAGTCTGCTTCCGTAAAGATTTACAGCCTTGGAAACCCTATGGGGGCAGTTCTACTCTGTCCTGTAGGTTCTCGATGAGTCAGAATCGACTCAACGGCAGTGGGTTTCATTTTGGTTTGGTAGTCTTTACGGGAGCAGATCACCAGGTCTTTCTCCCCAGAACTGCTGGGTGGGTTCGAGCCACCAACCTTTTGGTTAGCAGCCAAGCGCTTAAACATTGTGCCACCAAGCCTCCTTAAAGTCTGTTAGTATGTGTTTATTAAGCACCTACTGTGCCCATCAGCTTTTTGGCCATTACCAGATGAATGCCTTCTACCTTCAGCCACCTGAAAATACTGAGTAGTTTTAGAAGCAGAATTAGCAAATAATTCTGTTTATAACTGGCATAACTCTCAGCGGCGTTATGCCTGTTAGGAGGGGCCTGCTGATGGAGCAGGAGAAAGGTGGGGTGCAGAACTCAAATTCTAGTAAAAAGACCAGACTTAATGGTCTGACTGAGACTGGAGGAACCTTGGAAAGCATGGCCCCTGGATTCTCTATCAGCCCAAAACTGAAACAATTTCCGAGGCCAACTCTTCAAAGATTGGACAGAACTGTGGGACATAAAGTGATACTCGTGAGGAGTGTGCTTCTTCTTAGTTCAAATAGATACATGAGACTAAATGGACAGCTCCTGTCCAGAGGTGAGATGAGAAGGCAGAGAGGGTCAGGAGCTGGTTGAATGGACACGGGAAATCAGGAGTGGAAAGGAGGAGTGTGCTGTCACAGTATAGGGAGAGCAACCGGGGTCACATAACAATGTATGTATAAATTTTTGTATGAGAGACTAACTTGAAATGTAAACTTTTACTTAAACTACAACAATAAACCAAAAAAAAAAAAAAAAAAGGAGGGGCCAGACAGGGGCAGAGAGTGGGAGTGCCAGGTCACATTGGAATTCAGAAATGTCCGTGGGTAGGATGGCGGTGATGCCAAGCCCAGCAGCATTTACCTGCGAGAGGTCTAGGTGGAAACCATTCCCTGTTAAACCAGACTAGCTCACAGCGTTGTCTCTTCTTCACACAGACAGAATAAGGCCCGTGTGTCTGCCCAACCCGGGCATGATGCTGGAGCCGACGCAGACCTGCTGGATTTCTGGGTGGGGCGCCACCCAGGAGAAAGGTAAGGCTCCCGGCATGCAGGAACCTGTGACTCGTAACAGAGTGTCGGGTTTGGAAGTGGGAGGTCCAAGCTCTAACCTTGATTCTACTAAGTGCCTGGATGACTTTGGGCAAATCACTCAGTCTTGCTGCCTCAGTTTTTTCACCTGCTAAATGGGAAAAATTGTACCTGCCCTACCGAGCACACCGCTGAGATCAAACAGGACAACGTGTGAAAACTGATGTTTGAAGTGTAAAAAATCCAGTTGTTGTTGACTTGGTTTTGACTCATGGAGACCCCATGCGTGTCAGAGTAGAACTGTGCTCCACGGAATTTTCAATGACCAGTTTTTCGGAAATAGACCACCAAGCCTGTCTTCTGAGGTGCCTCTGGGTGGACTTGAACCTCCAGCCTTTCAGTTGGCAGCGTGTGCATTAATGGTTTGCACCACCAGGGACTCCTTTTGATGTGTAAAGGCCATATAAACGTAAGATGTGTAAAATCCTCCCACCCCATGTCCACATCCCATTGTTAATAAAGGGCTGCCCAGAAAATCTCCGTCTGGCCCTTAGGAATGGTCTTGGTGAGAATGGGCTCCGTGACCTGTGGACGATCAGCCACAGGACGTCGAAACCATGCCCTTCTGCCCAGACCACCACAGCAAGTAGAAGGCAGTAGACGCTCTGGTGTGAGCTTGCCTGGTTCTTGTAATTATAATTTGCTTCCATTCCATATAACATTTCCCAGATGAAGGGATCCTGGCTATTTCACTTTTAGGGAGGGTTGGCGGTGCTTGGTGGTACAAAGAATTATTTTCTGTGTTGTTTACATCCTTGTACTTCCAAAATATTATTTAGGGCACACGTACAACAGGTCTTTCAGAACAAGGAAAATACCACAAGGGCTGGGTGATTTGGGGGTTGTCAGGGAGACAGTGGGGGGTCTCCAGGTACCTCGTAGAAAGCAAAGTTCCTGCAATTCAGCCTTATGGTTGAACGCGAGCCTCTGCAGCCACTAAGATGAAAGGAAAAAGCAACAGATGTTTGTAGAGCACCTGGTGTGGGCTGCGTCCTGCTGTAGGTTTTGGACGGCAGTGATAAACAAAATATGCCAAAATCTGTGTCCCCATGAAGCTTACTCACATCCTGCTGTGGATGTCTGCAGAGCTGGGAGCGGTCAAGTGAGCAGGGAAGCAAATAGACTTCCACATAGCGGAGGACCGTGATAATAAGGGCCTGGTTACCCTGGTCAGGGAAGGCTTGTGGGAAGAGGTGACATTCCAGCTGGGATCTGATTGGCAAGAATGTTTAAGGAACAGACAATCCGGTGTGGCTGGGGCATGAGGACAGGGAATGAGGAGGCAGGCTTGGGCCAGGTCAAGTTTGGTGGCGTGGTGTGGACACCTGTCTATTCTGATCTTATCTAGTGCTGCTATAGCTAAACCACCACGAGTAATCTTATTTCAGCTTCTCTGATGTTCTTGGCATTTGTTTGTGATCTCCACGTGGCATCTGTCGTCCTCCATCTGTGCTTTCTTGTTTCTATGCCTAATCTGCTTTTTTTTTTTTTCCCCCCGGTGGGATTTCTTTATTTCTTGGGACAAGTCTATAAGTATGCTTGTAAAAACAGACCTACAAGTCAAATTTATAATATTGGTATTTGGCAGAGCTCAATTTCAAGGTGGTTCCAAAAAATTAAAGAAAAGACCTTCTTCTCCATAAAGTGAAATATGAATAACAGAAAAAGCCAGCTGCAAAAAGAAGCAAAAAATAACGTGAAAAAGACTTCCATTTTTCAGTTGTATCGGGAGATAATCCCAGAAATGAAAAATGAAGGCAAAAAAGGGGTTTCTGTTTCTGAGTAGGACAGAGTAGTTTGCTGTAGGCCAAGCTTATACCAAGCACAAGTAGGGAAACTATTAAAAAAATTAAAAATCGTGTATTTAAAAGCATCAGAAAGCTGCGGAAGCAACAAGAGCTACAAGGTCAACGGGAGAATGGAGGAGAGGCAAGGTGACTTTCTGCATTTTCCTGAAGTCATTTGCTGATTCTAGATACAGGGCATTAGTTAGAGAGTTCAGGCTTTGCCTAGACAGAGGGCAACTTCTGGAAGCTAGAGATACCAATAGAACTTTGGGGAATATATAGTGATGGAGATACGAAGGGACAAGGTCTTAGTGAGAAAGAATAATGGAGAATTAAACCTGATACACAGCTGGTTTTCGTCTGAAATTATTTGCCCATTTCTCAAGCTGCTCAATGCAGGAGGCTAAAAGCTAAGCAGAAAATTTTGAATAGGAGAGCAGAATTTTCTGCTGTCTCCTTGTGATATCCTCAAAATTGTCAGAGGGAGGATGCCTGATGACTAGACCAAGATTTCAGTTAAAATTACAGAAGTTTCAATCATAGGAATGAGTGTGAACCCGAGGTAACAGAACCTTATGAAAATTACTACCCAGCCTCAACTTAGGTCAGTAATCTGCTCTTTTTATATCTCAGAAGTGATGGGCTTAAAACTCACCCTACACTGATGTGACCTCATTAACATAACAAAGAAACCCTATTTCCCAACAAGATTACACCCACAGGCATTGGGGTTAGGACTGCAATACATATTTTGAGGGACGTAATTCCATCCTTAACAGGCAGTGACATGACCTGACCCAGGTTGCTAAAGGACCTCTAGTGGCTGAATGGGGAGTGGCAGAAGGAGGCGAGAGTAGCAGCAGAACAGCAGTGAAGAGGCCGCTGCTGTGGTCCCCTGGGACAAGACGGCAGCCCAAGGGGGTGGATGCGGAGGTGCAGAAGCAGCGCTGCATTTGGGGTGGAGCCCCAGCTTTGCTGATGGAATGAATGTGACGGGGAGGGAGACAAGAAGTCAAGGAAGTGTGGCTTCTAGTGTTGTCTTCTGACAGTGTGGGAAGGGGGGAGCCAGTCCCTGAGATGGGGAAGATGCAGTGGTCAGAGTTTGGGCTGCAGGAAGGCGGGGTTCGGTCTTAGCATGTGAAGTTTGGGGTGCCAAGGGACATCAAGTGGAGGTAGTAAGACAGGAAATAAAGCTGTAGAGTCAGCAGGTGTGGGTAATTGTTTGAGAAGTTTTAATGAGCGAGGGAGCAGGGAAGTGGCGTCATGAGTGAAAGATCAGTCGAAATGAGGAAAGGCTGGTTTGTTGAAGAGGGAAATAAACCAAACCCGTTGCCATCAAATCAGTTCTGGCTCATGGCGACCCCATCTGTTACCGAGTAGCACTTCTCCATAGGGTTTTCTTGGCTGTAATCTTTATGGAAGCAGATTGCCAGGCTTTTCTCCTGTGGTGCTTCTGGGTGGATTTGAACTGCCAATCTTTTGGCTAGTAGTCGAGTGCAAACCCCTAGGGAGCTAAGGGGGAAATACAGGAGGTCACTATGCCCTGGGGATGATCCAGCAAAGAGGGAGATACGTTGGGAAAATCAGTCCAATGGAACCAAGTCCTTGGGTGGAAGACAGGGCGTGATTCTAGGGGACAAATGGCGTCTCCGAAGGCGGGAAGCTCTCTTCCCTGAACCTGAATTCTAAAAATACCAGTTGCCGCCAAGTCAACTCCAGCTGGTGTTGACCGCATGTGTGTCAGAGAAGAACTGTGCTCCAGAGGGTTTTCAACGGCTGTGATCTTTCAGCAGTAGATTGCCAGGCCTTTCTTCTGAGGTGCCTCTGGGGACTCAAACCTCCAGCCTTTCGGTTAGCAGCCAAGCCTTAACTGTTTGCACATTCATCAGAGATGCTGCTGGTTGTAAGGATAACCCAGGCTCCACAGGATGGGCTGGGGAGGGAAGAGGGAAGGGACGTGGGTGTGTATGCAGTGTCTGTGGTGGTGGCTTCCAGGAGGGATATCTGCTTTTCCTGTGAGACCATTTGGAGCACTGAGTGCCTTCTGTCGTTTCTCCTCAGGGAAAACCTCCGATGAGCTGAATGCAGCTCAGGTGCCCCTTATCGAGCCCTGGAGGTGTAACAAGAGCTACATCTACAACAACCTCATCACCCCTGCCATGATCTGCGCGGGGTATCTGCAGGGATACGTTGACTCCTGCCAGGTAATCACGATTCTTTATTCAGCCTTACCAGTCCCAGTTAACATGGCGGCAATTCCAACTACTGCCAACCCACGTGTGTCAGAGTAGAACTGTGCTCATAGAGTTTTCAATGGCTGATTTTTCAGAAGTACATTGCCAGGCTATTCCTCCAAGGCATCTCTGGGTGGACTCGAACCACCAACCTTTCGGTTAGCAACCAAGCATGTTAACCGTTAGACCACCCAGGGACTCCTATTCAACCTTAGAGAATGCCTTTTGGCCTTGCCCAACTCCCGACTGAGCTGGCGAGAGGGAGCAGAAACCCCATGAGACAGGATTTCCTGGGGCGAGGGACCTCAGCTGGGTGGAGACCTCGCTCAGGCCCTTGGAGATCTGTGGTGACCGCTCAGCATGAACGCACTTTGGGTGGCAGGAGCAAGCACCCCAACAAAAAACCATGTGACACAAGTTCGTTTGGCAAAAGTGTCAGTTGAACAGAAATAAGTATTTTGACTAGTTTAAAATACAAGCAACAATTTCTTTAGTACCTGTTAGCTGATATAGACTGAAATTCATCACGGGTATAATCTGTTAATTCTAAACGTTTCCAAAATATTCTCTGACAATATTTCTATTACCTCTTATTGCTGGAGATATGAAACCAGCACACTCACACTGAGACATACACACTCACACACCCCTCAGTGCCCTCAGAACCCACC